TGAGAGAAACTGTATTTGGATAAAGTTTTATTTAATTATAATATATAATATACTATATTATTGACTAGAAATAATAATAATAAATCAAAATGGTTATATTGTAATCATATTATGATACATTTTCCGCTTTAGTGAAAAAACCAGTTTAGTTGTTGAGTATTTAGCCGACACTTACCATTTCTATCATAGGTCCCAAGCCAATTAATACCATTTTAGAGATTACCCTAGTGATAATCTGTGAACTATAAAAAACCACATTGTTGTTCCTCTATCTTTTGTGCCATACCAATTAAAATTGTGAGTTTTTTTTTTTTCGCGTAGAAAATACTAATGAATAAAATATTTTTCAATAATATTAAGCTATTCAACACTCAAACCTCCATTCTTAGAACTTTAACAACGATGGCAGCAAATCCCAGAGTTTATTTTGAGGTTTCACTTGGTAAGAAGTTGCCGGATACCGCGTATGCCGTAAATGTATTGGATACATCCAAGCCGATAAGGAAACTTGGTGTAGGTAGCTTTTAGTAGTCAATTTGTAAAATTCTGAAATGAAAAACTCATTATTTTTTCTGACAGCGTATCGTCTTCGAGCTAAGAGCTGACGTCGTACCAAAGACAGGTAAACTCAAGAGACATATCTTGTATAATGAACCCTATTATTAATTGAATATTCCATCCACAGCCGAAAACTTTAGAGCTTTATGCACCGGAGAAAAGGGTTTTGTACCCGGTACTGAAACTCCGTACTCTTTTAAAAACAGCTGTTTCCATCGAATTATTCCCCAATTTATGATTCAAGGGGGAGACTTTACCAAAAGAGACGGAACTGGCGGAGTATCCATTTATTCTAAAAAGTTTGATGATGAAAATTTCCGATTGAAGCATACCGGACCTGGTATGTGAATTTTTTATATTCGAACTAATATAAAATTATAAGTTTACAAATATTTGTTCTATAGGTGTTCTTTCCATGGCTAATTCTGGAACAAACACTAACGGATCGCAGTTCTTTATTTGCACTGTTAAGACAAGTTGGTTGGATGGCAAGCATGTAGTCTTTGGAAATGTTGTTGAAGGTTTGTGATCGATAAACATACTCCTTTTTACCGATGTATGATATATTTTCTGACTAAAATTTATAATGTAGGTATGGATGTTGTGTATGATGTCGAAAAATTTGGCTCACAGGGTGGATCGCTTCCAGATAACAACTTGGTTTTTATTTCCGACTGCAATGAACAGAAATAACATTGGTTATTTTCGACTGTAATGAACAGAAATAACATTGGTTATTTCCGACTGCAATGAACTGAATAATATTGGTTATTTTATTGAGAAAATAGTTTATTGAAAAATTTTTTAGATGCAATAAAACAACTTTCAATAAATTGCAATATATATCCTTTATTAATAATAAATGATGTGAACAATAATGATACTGTAAAATTGTTACAGCTTTAAATTTGTTTACAGAAAATATGATTAATGCGGCTAAACTTTTAAAAGAGAATTTCATAATTCAAAGAAGTATTTAAAATTCAAACTAATACTACTTTAAAATACTAAATTAAATTAAATAAAATATTAATACAATGTGAAACAAAAATAATTGGATTTTTTTATTTTTTAAAAAAATTTATAATAAATAAATTGATATTTATTAATAATTATATTTTTTTAAGGATGAATATGCATCTTTATTTGATTTTTTATATTTAAATAAATATGTCAAATGCTTTTTATCTTATAGCTAAACCGTTTATAGCTTAACATTGTCTAAAAATATTATTAATTTATTTTTTTATTATAAATATAAACAATAAAAATTATTATATAATGATATTATTAAAAAAATTTTTAAAAAACTTTATTTTATATTGTTAAAAAATATTTTTTAATATTTTTATTTGATTAATAATATTGTTATACTTAATTAAAAATATAGCTTTTGTTAATAAAAAAATTATTAATTAAAACAAAAAAAAAATTTTTTTAAACAAATTTTATAAATATATTATTGAAGTTAAATAATTTTTAATAATAAAATAATTATATTGTAATTAAAAATAATTTAATTATATATTTAAAATAACATTATTTTAAATTTTAAACTTATAAAATTATTTAGTTGTTTAAAAATAATTTTATTTATTTTTTTTTAAAGTAGATAAATATTATCTCTTTATTATTATAAAAATTTTAAATTATTTTATATACAAAAAGTGATAATATCTTTCATATAACTAATTGATTAATGAATCTAATGCTAGCTTGCTTACAAAAACTATTTAAATGACATGAAAAATAAATATTAAAATCAATATATATTCTAAATAGTGCCAAGCAACTATGAATACCTATTGAGGCTTATATGTAAGATTATAAAAAATAGAAAATTGAAGAAAAAAAGAAAATACAAAACAAAAAGATAAATACAAAAAAACCAATTATAAAGCTAAAAATATTTGAATAAAATTACTAAATGCATTATGCTAATAGTTTTATTTAACTAAAGTATAATAGTTGCACTTTCAGAAATGGTTAAACTACTGTTCAAAGTATATAATAGTATTGATAATATATTTTTTTAATAGATGATTAATTATGATAATAATATTATTGTTATAGTGATATTATTTATAATTGGTTTGTTTATCAATAATATAATTTTATTTAAATTATTGTTAGTATAAAAAGTTTTATTTATATCAATCAAAATATGATATTTTGGTTATATAGATTTGTTTGAAAAATTGATAGTGTTTAATTGATTAAGTTTGAAATATTTGATCAATTGATAGAAATAAACTAATTGCAATTTTTTAATAAAAAATTTAAATAGAATTTTTTGATTTTATATATTGAAAAAAAAAGAAAATAAAAAGAACTCTAAAAAAGATTTATAAAAAAATAATTATTATGGGCCTTTTCTTATGCAATTAAAAAAAAAAAAATTTTCAAACTTGCTTTTTTCTGGTCAAAAATCTTATTACGATGCATTAATATATTTTTTTGATTTTTTTAAGGCTCTTATAATAAAAAAAGAGAAAGTACGAATATTGAAAGATAAAAAAATTATGTGCAAAAAAAAGTTTTGAAAATAATTTTAATTTTAATTAATTAAATATTATTTATTTATTTATTTATTTATTTCAATTAAATTAGAATTATTTATTTATTAAATTATAATAAATTAATATTATAAAGATTATATATATATATTTTCAATTTAGTTTATTTGTTTAGAATATTAAGTTATTAAATACAATTTATAGAAATAATATATTGTAATGGAATAATTAATTCCATTATATTATTTTATTATTATTATTATTTTATTATTATTATTTTAGCTTCTT